TATATTTCACAGTGAGGTGACATCTATAAGGTAGTGGAACCGTAAAAAGCCCATCAGCCCCATCTCCAATAGTTATGAATAGTTGGATTACAGCACATCTCTCAGTCAGGGGGAAAGAATAAGCATTGACTGGCTGGGTCACGGAGACAGGAGCAGGTATAGAGCTGGAGGCAAATAGCCCAGAGGTGCTGAAAAGAAGAAATGGATATCCATCAGCAGAGATGTGAAAATGACTCTGGGTGGAGGTAAAAAAAAATTGGATGTGAAGGAGAAGTTTGGGTCAGAAAGCATAACAGAAAGCTGGTACTGATCTGCACTACAGTCGACCCCGCTGTGATGATTATTAACCCAATATTCAGTTTAAGTCAAGTTTACAGTCAGACAGCACAGGACAAAAACCTTTATATATATGGCTGTGATGACCTCTGGCCTTTGCACTCAGCCCCATTTAAACATTAAATCAGCTACAAGGAGTTTTTGTCTGGTTATCAAACAGTTTCAGTTTAAAAATGATGCCTTTATTTGACCCACATTAGCAAACAGGACCATCAGACTGGCTTTTTAATGCCTGTCCTCGGGTTTTAAATTCCCAATGAACTATCTGGTAAAATTTCAGGGCAGGTATAAAGGTATTAAAAATTAGACACTGCCCAAGCCTAATTTAAATGCAAAGAGAGTGACTGCACTGATGAATGCATGCATTGCAAATAAACAAGGAAAGGTCCTTTTTATTTGGCAGTGTTCTCACGAGTTAAACCACTTAAATGCTAATCAGATCACATACTTTACTTAGGAGGTGACATGAGGAGGACCAGGTCAACACAATTCACTATGAAGAGCATGTCATTGGTCACTTTCAGCAGGACACTTACACAGTTATCCAAAATATGATGTTGATCTGAGAGAGGCAGCGCTAAGTAAAAAAAAAAAGTGACATTTTCAGGAGAATTAATGTTAAAATTACAGCTGTCAAATTTAACACATTAATAACGAGTCAATGCAAATTCCTTTTAATGCCACAATTTCTTGATGCACGATTAATGCATGTGCTTTCTGTGATGATGACCCTCTGCCAACCCCGTAGTTTGGGAAATCAGGAAGTGATGCAGCAGTAACGTGTGGCTGCAAGCAGAAACAAACCTCCATGAGCAGAAACGGAAAACCAAAGGCATGTTCAGCTTCAAAGCTCGGCCAGATGGTTCTCTCGACAAGACCAGAGTTATTTGAATTTGCTGTTGATAGGAATTGAGTTACCACTGGAGTACATCGAGATGCTTTAAAAAAAAAGGGGATATTTAGCTAACCTTTACAGGAGTGAAGTTGGACATTACATTGTGTTTGTATCACTAAGAAATGTTACATTCAGGTCAAAATCATTCAGGTATGTCTTTGTGTTGTTGCTTGTTGGCCTTGAGTTTGCCATGAATCCGCTTTTATGTCTGGAACCTCTCGTCTACAACAGGCTTGAGACGCACCTTCGTTGAAGACTTGGCTCAGATTCCAGAGTTACTCTCTTATCCTGAAGCCTCCTTAAGGAATCTAATCCCGTTTGATTCGGTGGGGGGAACCTCTTGCGTCCGCATGCCTTTGCTGACGTCGACCCCAGCAGGACTCGAATTCTGGACCTTCGCATAGAAGACAAATGCTCTGACCACTACACTAGGGAGGGCCTGAGTTTGCCATGGTTCAGCATATATTTTGAGCATGCAGTATCTTTGAGGTTATTCTGGAGAATATTCTGGACAGTATTTGTCGTTGTTTTGGGTTGTTGCAATAACAATAAACATAAATTTGCATAAAGCAAGCGTATTTGTCCACTTCCATGTTGATAAGAGTATTAAAAACTTGAAAAATATCCCTTTAAGATACGAGAACAAAAGAAATGTCCAATTAATATCGATTTAAGTATGGACAATCATGCGATTAATAACTATTAAATATTTTAATCAATTGATAGCCCAAGTTAAAATGTTAATATGCAGAATAATGAAATCAGTTTAAATGAAAGGCATAGAAGAAGGCAATGTCCAGCTATCATTAACCTAGAAACCGTGTTCTCACAATCGCATTTTGAAGGCAGAAGCAGACGTAATCTGCTGTGACATCACTAACTGAAAGTTTCTACCCACTGTACAACACAGTGAAGCATTAGATACACTGATTCATAAATGTGGCACCGTGTACGCAGATCACTGGTGATGTCAGGGCCATTTTCATTTCCTTTCATTCATGAAGGCGACAGAGTCATGAATGAAAACGCTTGTGTTACACTGAGCCAGAAAATAATTCCCTGGTTGTTGGGTCAGGTTGCTGAGGCAGCAAAAGTTTTGATAGTCTGAGAGGAGAAGTTGATGTAACCCAACGTGCCACATAGTTTGTTTCCATGCCCCCAGGAGCAGCAGCAAGCTTTGAAGCCAATTTAACATAGAGGCAAAATGTGGAATCACAACGTCCAGGTTTGTCACGTGATGTCATAGAGCCCAAGAAGACGTTTTCCCATAGACTCACATTGGGAAAGAGATGTTTGTAAATCAGTTGATACATTTTTTAGCATCACAACCCTCACAAAATGACTCCTTTCACTATCTGGATTTGATCAATACAGTCCAATAACGATAAGGTCTGGAAGAGCTGCACGATTAAATCATTTTTATATCCATCAAAGAAGAATGCCAAACTGGGAGTTAGCCACTTGGCTGGTGAAAGTCTCCACTGCACTTGATCTATGGGCCCCAAGACATGAAAGATTCTGGTAATTTTATACTCAGGAAGCCAAACTTTTTTGGCTCCATGCCCCACTGAACAACTTTCGACCAGGGCCCCACGTCCAAAGCTGTATCCAGTGCTGTCGATGAAAACTGTTTGGAAAAGGGCAGGCACTTTCCAAACATACTTGGCAGGTGATTGCATGGATTATCTGTCCGTCACCATCTATCACTGGCTATCTTGAACCAATCAGATCAACCAAAGCAAGTCAGCAGAAGCGTGAAAACAACCTTTCCATTAAGAAAAGCCTTCAGTGCCAATCTTTGCTCTTCATTCAGTGAAGAAAAACTCTTCAGTTTTGACACAAGTGATGCTATTGTAGCATCTGTGCTAACCCACAGTTGCCTCTTCATGCCAACACAAACACCTAAACCAAACCTGTAGCTGCCAGCAGCTCCTCTAATGTCTAACTTGCATTATGATTCAATCCCATACCAACTATTTTATTTTCTGTGCCCTCAGTTTGGATCTGAGTGAGTATGTTTGCTCAGGGGATGTTCTGTGCTTTGAATCACAGTAGTGCTTCACATAATTGCTTTTAATAATCCCCATGGTCTCAGAACATATGATGAGACATGGTTTTGACCTGCCAACATGTAAGAGTCTGTCCATTCGCATCTACCTGTCTCTCTTTAGAGCACGCCATGAATTACTTTTCTCTGACTGTTATTTCTACGACTGTTGTCTCTTGTCTTATCTCGCCCGTGGGTTAACCTCACTAACTCCAGTTGCAGTGCTTATCAGAATGCACACATCTGATTGGCTGAGTAGCTGCGAGATGATTTAACACATGCAATTGGTCTGTGAGTTTCCTGGTCGCTAAACCAGTGTTACAAATGCTGCACAGGTTAAAATAGACACACAGTTATGTCAGTTAGAGCCATGGGTCCGCACCTGAGATGGAGAGGGATGGCAGTTTAACAAGGAGGACGTATTTTGGTCAGTTTGCTAATAAGATGTTCCAACACTACCTCCCTCAAATCGCCTACCATCACAGCACAAATGCGAGTTAAGAGTTGATGCAGCAGAGCGACAAACAAGGACACAAGGTTTTAAAGGATGGGAGGCAAACAGTTGAAATGCAAAAGACATTCAGTGGGACCATTTACAAGATTAAAACATCCTTGGTAATCTAAAATGAGCCAAGAAGAAAATGAAGCCCTGTTAATGAAGCAGAGGAAACTGACGAGGAACATTTTCAAAGCTCCTGGTACAGGGACAAAAGGTGATTCAACAGAACACAAAAATGTTTCTAATGTTTCTCTTCCTTATCTTTGGTTAGTGAATCATCGCTCTCCCTCCCCCCCTCTCTGCCTGCGCTTGTTCCAAAATAAAGGTTAAAGGATAAACTGAATTCCTCCTTGTTTGCTTAGACTCTGACTGTAAGCTGCGACTCAGTTTACATGTACATTTTTTAAATCTGGCTCCTGTAAATGCCGCATACTGTTTACAGTAACCTGGATCAACTGTGATCCTGGGTTTGGGGTAGCTGAAGAACTCCCAATATCTGTCTGATTTTTTTTAATGCACCACAGTAGTTCAGAAGGTCAGCGCTATTGTGGATGATTTTTTCCCCCCAGAGCATTGTGGGTAAAGCACTGGTGTAGATTAGGAGGGTGGTCTATTCTTCTCGCTCTTTGCATTGATAGAATATTATACAAATGAAAAAGAGTTCTGAAACTCTACGTATCATTCTTGTAAATATCAACGATGTAATAATACTATTTATGAATTAATATTGTTTGCCGTGAGCTTTCTGCAGGGTTTCTAATCATTTTCCGATGTCTGCAGGAGGTAATAGAAAAACCACCGGTTTGATGACGTTAAAATGTCCATTTGTATGCGAGCATCACATTAAACCTTCGCTATCTACCCAAAGGCTTGACTGTATGCAAATACACTTTTAAATATCAAAATACCCACAGCTATAAAAAATGAGAATAAATGAAAACATATGAATGTGCTGACTGGCCCAGAGCTGATAGCAAATGACAGCACAAGGTCCAGCGTTGGCACCTACAGGGTTGTTGGCCTCCAATTAAATTACTCTGCTAACACAACATGATTAAATTACAGATATTTTAAATTATGAACACTGTCATTTTCTTGTTCTCAAGCTGGAGTTTGAAATGATTTCACTCTGGAATGTTTATCCAGTTTTGATTAAAGGCAAAGCAGAGAAAATATTCCTCATGCATGTTGTATTTACGTTAAGTGAGGGAAGATGTGTTTACCTTTGTGCTCGTCGCTGAAGTAACTGAAGTAAGTGGGGCAGCTTATTGTAACCACCTCTCCGACTCTGGCTGAAGGCCAACAGGCGATGATGTCCCACATGCCTTGGCAACCTGCCAGGAGGAGACAATAGCATTAACATGGCATCACTCACACATACATATACACACATGCAGGCTGCAAGGACAAAATTAGATCATGTGCTTAACATGACACCCAATTACACACACACACACACACACACACACACACACACACACACACACTGATTTTTTCAGTTTTAATTCAGGGATAGAAAACTTATTATAGATAGGATGGTTATGGTATAAATGTGGCACAAGAGTTGATCTATCTTCATTCTCAACTTTATCAAATAAAATTGCATTCCTTCATTTTCACAGATAAAGAGGAACACAAACAATCTCAAGTTTTCATTATCCACTTTAAATTTGGTTTGAAGACATTCAGGCCCTGTCTGCATGTATATTTTCTCTACATTTTGGCCTCCCGTCCACACCCAAACAGAGTTTACACTAAAACTGATCAGATGTCTTTAAAAAGACTTTAAAGGTGCAGACTTTTCAAAACTCCAGTTAGTGTGTATTGATGTGGACATGTAAAACGAAGCATTTGGAAAACAATGATGTCATTTCCTCAGTTTGTGCATATCATTTGTTGCTTTGTGTAATGAGCATGCACCAGAAACAATAATGCCTGTCTCCTCTATACACATGTATGTGCAAATAAAAAACGGTATGGTACCTCTGGAACCAACAGTAACCCTTCAGACATGGTAATGAATCCCAAGCGTTTCCACAGCAAACAGTTCTCTTAAATGTGGGTGGGGTTGTTGTCACTCACTGCTCCGTCCAGCACTCAATTTATTTCCTCATTACCAGTGACACAGATGGAAGTCTTCACCTCGTTTATCGTCCGCAGAACGAGGCTGCACGCCCACATTTTCAGGACAAAATAAAACAGGCTGCAGTGAGAGCATCTCTCCATGGGATATTTAAAAATAGCGGGTTTGTGCATTTAGTCCTTCGAAGGCAAGCTCAGGGGTTCAGTGTTCTGTAGACTGACATTCCAAGACGAGTGAGGCTCGGAATATATGCAGTTCACATAATCCAGTCATAATTAATACATATAAATGCTCGGAAATCCACTTATGCTGTCATATAAAAACTAAAGTAATGGTCAAAGCTGACACATGGAATTTAAGTTGTGCTGATGGATTCACGTCATCAACTCGTGCGTCGAGGAACATTACAAGTAAATGTTTTATTCCGACTGCAGCTGCTGCAAGAGGCAGCAAAACATCCTTTCATTTTATAGTTACAGTCTACTAATAAACTCTCCACGGTATCAACAGTGGTTACATGAGCTTCAAAACCAGACACAACTCAGCCCTGAGCAGAGTGACCGTCCTCTATTGACCAATCAACAGACTGCAGTGTTCACAGCTCCACCTTTTAGTACCAGATCTGTGTGCTAGGTACCCCAACAGACTGCAGTGTTCACAGCTCCACCTTTTAGTACCTGATCTGTGTGCTAGGTACCCCAACAGAGGGGGGACCAAAAATGGGGATGGTACTGAACGGTTCCATTGGTACCATCCACAACTTTTCACAGTGGAAACGGGAAAAAAGCACATATACCTGAACTGTACCGTACTGAGAGAAATGCGGCTTAAACTACCAGTTTGTTTAAGTTTTGTCAACACTGCTGATTCTAACTTCTTTACACTTTAACTTAGTGCTGCTGCACCACTTCACAGACAAATGAAGACATCTGCTGCACCTAATGTTATTTCATCCACCTCAGTGTCTGGGGTCCATAACAGTTTTAGATCAGCAGATGGAGGGATAATTCTTTGGTGAGCATTTGGAAACTTTTTTTGTATTCTAGTGTTTTTGGAGATATTTTGTAAAATGAAGGCCATGTGGGCAGATTTTTTTCTAAACGGAGGGGGAAAATATCTGTTTTTAAAAATATCCGTATGCATGTAGACAGGGCCTCAGTCATTTAGGTCTGTGGTGACTGGTTAGACACAACCTAACAATGTCAACCTCCAAATGAACTCCATAATATACTCTGACATAGCATCTATCGTGGCATCAACACACACATGCCATTAGGAAGACAGTTTTTTGTGCCTATATGTGCAATCACAATACAAGTCACAGCACTGAGCACAGAATCTGAAATGACAAAAACACAAGTGATGAACCATTTCTGACAGATATTGATCTGAGGTTGAAAAACCGATAAAAGCACGCTTATAAACAATTCAGAGTGCAGACAGCTTCTTCAGAACATCTTTGAATCTGTACAATGAACTGTGTGTGTGTGTGTGTGTGTGTAGCGCTACATTAACGCTGCACACCAGAGGACATGAGCTGTCAAGAAATTTTTATGACTGTTCTGTTTCAAGGAAGTCGTGGAATTGCTGGACAATCTCTATATTTAATATGTTGCATAACTGCAGGCAGTGAACGTATGGTTTCTCACAAACGCGCACACTAATTCATTTATTAGGGACGTGACCTGTGAGAGCAGCGCGCACTACCTTCCTGTTGAGGAAGCAGATAGGGAAGTAGAGAGTAATGGCAGAGATAAGGAGGAGAGCTGTTTCCACGCGCACAGTTCATGCATATTCACTTAATGTACAGTATGTGCAGTGATTTTTTATTAAAATGAGACAAAATGGAGATAGCAAGTTAAATGATGGCCATCTTACTGAGGTGTGTTCATCCAGACTCGAGGTCGGACTCTGTATATACTTTATATATCCACTTACTGCTGCAGACACAGTGGGTGAGCCAGTGTGTGTTCAACTCTAACGTTAATCACTATGACAGACAATGACGTTATCACGTGTTTTTGTGACTTTGCGTGGGAGTATTTAGTTAAAATCCCATCATATGCAAGGTTATCTTCATGCTTTGACCTTACAATGACTGTGTTTACACACACACTAATATTCCACTGTCATTCCAAATATGACAATATTCTAAATTTGATAGCATTTTCTGAGGGATATGCCAATATTTTTCGAGTTTTAGAAGTGATATGTTCACAGCCCATTTAGAATATATGTCTCAGCTAAGTTTGCTACTTCAGTTTGAAACACACAAACTGTTTATGGTCGGCTCTGCACGTTGGACACAAACCAGCTAGCCAACACTTTGCAGTGCTGAAGTGGACATGCGTTCCAAAGAGAAAATACCCTATTTCTGGTAGGGAGAAGAAACACACATACTTTAAACATTATAAAAGATCTAGATATCAGCAGGTTTTTGGATATGTGCAATTATCTTAATGCTGGCCTTTTCAAATGGGTGGCTAAAGGAATGAAAGAAGACTTTACCAAGTAAAGAAGCAAAATGACAAGTGGCTTCAGCTGTTCTACTGTTCCATATTTTGACGTGATAAATGACATGTTAGGGCACATTAATCAGAGTATGCACAGCTGCAGTTAAACAGGAATATTAGTAGAATATTCATTTTCATTAGCCATAAAAACAGCTTAGTAGAAACATTGTATTTTTCGGAATAAGGGCAAAAAACTGAATGTTTTGTGCATGTAAATGTGTCAAATGTCATGTGTCATGTCCATCATGACAAAGTCCATCCTTACTAGCTTTGATGGCTCTACACACTCACAAAGCTGTTTTTCAATTATTCTGATGCGACACTTCACCTGTCAGTGATGACACAAAATGATGATGATTCATAAATGTCCAAAATCTCAATTTATTACTCATCATAGAGCAGTGAGATAGAGATAGTGAAACGTAAAAACGTTAAAGTCCCCCTCCACTCAAAATATGTTTTTCTTCCATATATATTCCCTCAAATGTCTGACCCTGACTATTCTGACTTGTGTCTGTGCAAAGTCTGTCGCAAAAGAGGTGTTTTCATAATCGTTTACTGAATGTACGCCGGGCAAGCTAGGTTTGGTACATCACTAATATGGAAGCAATCGCTGTCTAATACTAGAGCTCAGAGCAGACTTATGGGTAATCTAAAAATCTCAGCAAGATGGAAGATGTCTTTCTATGAACTTTGATTAGACCTCTGGTATATAGTTACGCAATAACAATGTGATAACGTGAACACACTGACATCATAGCAGATATTATTGTATATATTTACAACCGTTTACGCTGTGTCAGTCACTGCCAGTTATAACCTAACAAGCTAACAAACAACATAAACAAATAAAAGATGCTACATACCATACTGATTCTCAATTTGTCGCCAATTATGGTGCTCAACAGACTCTTTATCTGAGTCTAAATTTGACTGAAACTCAAAAATATTTGACTGAATCTCTCTGGTGCAATGTTCATTCACTCCTTAACATAGCGCAAGCGAGGTTGGTGGGTGTGGCGGAGGCCATATCCAGAATTTCTCAGTGGAGAAGATTAAATATCATGTGGGAAAACCATGTTAAACAAGATATTAATCATAGCAGAGTACTTTTTACATGCTTCAAAACATGTCTTGGGTGGAACTTTAATATCTTTGCTGACATTTTTTGACATTTAGCATCATTAAAAATATGCTGAATTAGCTATTAGCAGTTTGTGTCTGCAGCGTACCCGTGGATATACAGACAGCTGGATTACTTTGACACTGAAGAAAATTTTAAAATGTGAGGCTCATGTTCTGGAGTTCAAAGGAGCATCTTTTTTCATGATTTCTCCGCAGTCTTTCCACCTTGCTACAGAGTAAATGATTGCATGTCTTTTCTGGAATAGTGTATGAGTGAACAAGGGAGTCACCCAAAATCTGTATAGTAATAGAAAATGACAAAAGCGTAATTTGTCCCGCCCTAAAAGGTGCAAGAAAACTGGGAGTTGGGATGTGTCAGTCAAGCAAGGTCACACCCACCCAGCCCTGAGTGGAAACACCATCCTTCAATTGACTATACCGCGTTCCAAATTATTATGCAAATTGTATTTAAGTGTCATAAAGATTAAATTTTTTGTTTTTCAATTAAACTCATGGATGGTATTGTGTCTCAGGGCTCTTTGGATCACTGAAATCAATCTCAGACACCTGTGATAATTAGTTGGCCAGGTGAGCCCAATTAAAGGAAAAACTACTGAAGAAGGATGTTCCACATTATTAAGCAGACCACCATTTTCAAGCAATATGGGAAAGAAAAAGGATCTCTCTGCTGCTGAAAAGCGTGAAATAGTTGAATGCCTTGGACAAGGTATGAAAACCTTAGATATTTCACGAAAACTTAAGCGTGATCATCGTACTATTAAGAGATTTGTGGCTGATTCAGAGCACACACGGGTTCGTGCAGATAAAGGCACAATGAGGAAGGTTTCTGCCAGACAAATACATCGGATTAAGAGAGCAGCTGCTAAAATGCCATTACAAAGCAGCAAACAGGTATTTGAAGCTGCTGGTGCCTCTGGAGTCCCGCAAACATCAAGGTGTAGGATCCTCCAGAGGCTTGCAGTTATGCATAAACCTTCTATTCGGCCACCTCTAACCAATGCTCACAAGCAGAAACGGCTGCAGTGAGCCCAGAAATACATGAAGACTAATTTTCAAACAGTCTTGTTCACTGATGAGTGCCGTGCAACCCTGGATGGTCCAGATGGATGGAGTAGTGGATGGTTGGTGGATGGCCACCATGTCCCAACAAGGCTGCGACGTCAGCAAGGAGGTGGTGGAGTCATGTTTTGGGCCGGAATCATGGGGAGAGAGCTGGTCGGCCCCTTTAGGGTCCCTGAAGGTGTGAAAATGACCTCTGCAAAGTATGTGGAGTTTCTGACTGACCACTTTCTTCCATGGTACAAAAAGAAGAACCGTGCTTTCCGAAACAAAATCATCTTCATGCACGACAATGCACCATCTCATGCTGCAAGGAATACCTCTGCATCATTGGCTGCTATGGGCATAAAAGGAGAGAAACTCATGGTGTGGCCTCCATCCTCCCCTGACCTCAACCCTATTGAGAACCTTTGGAGCATCCTCAAGCAAAAGATCTATGAGGGTGGGAGGCAGTTCACATCCAAACAGCAGCGGGAGGCTATTCTGACATCCTGCAAAGAAATTCAAGCAGAAACTCTCCAAAAACTCACAAGTTCAATGGATGCAAGAATTGTGAAGCTGCTATCAAATAAGGGGTCCTATGTTAAAATGTAACTTGACCTGTTAAGATGTTTTTGATTGAAATAGCTTTTGATTTCAGTAAATATGACCTCCTAATGCTGCAAATTCAACAAATGACTATTTTCAGTTCTTTACAACCTAGAAAATGTGTTGAAACTCTGTTGTGCATAATAATTTGGAACAGTGCATTTTAAGTTTTTTATTTTTGAAAAAAATACTGTTTTCATTGGGAGGTTTGTTCAATAACATTTGAATTAAACTTTAACAGTTGATGACTTGAAAATTATGTTGACTGTCATTTGCATCGACTATTTAGGAAAATCAGAGAAAAATATCATTTGCATAATAATTTGGAACGCGGTGTACATATATGCACTCTTTACTTTGAAGTGAGGCGTGATTGTAAGAGCCATCTAAAGTGAAGTCGGCATAATCCAACTATTTCTCTGGAGAAACTGCGGCCTGTATTTCAGCCAGCTATAATGACGCTTTATCTATAAACTCCCACACTGTATCACCTTACCTCTCCATTTATTTACTCATGCTGTTTCCCATTTCCGCTAAATAGCCTCCTGCACACCCTAAACAGAGAGAGGAAAATGTGTTTTCGAGAATGACCTGAAGTGACGTTCCCATAGGTGCTATTCTCACAGCGCTCTTTCTCCAGTCTGATGTCGTTCATCACATCGCACATCTGCACTGATGACACCTGTGGAGGAGGCAGAAAGCACATTTAGGTGTCGAGTACTGAATATGCATTTATCACACTGCAATTAGACACTGAAAGAAGTTGTAATTAGTGAGGCTGAGTTCAGCAGACAGGTGACTATTCTACCTCACATTTCCTTTTATCACATTCCCGTAGCTATGGCCTTTTATGTTTTCCGATTAGACTGAACCCCCAGCTAATAATACACAGAAATGTTCTCTATGTCTGAAATCCCTCTTGCCTGGCAAATAGATGCTATCATGCAAATGGATTAGGAAACGAGGGGGGAGCCACTGAGTAATCTACCACGATTGTTCATCTGTGTCAACAAAGGCTGAAAAATGCGGGCTGACAGCCACCAGCGCAGAGCCGCTGGGTCAATGAAAATGTGTAAGACGAGCAGCGAGGAGCTTGAGAAGGTCAGCGGAGATGAAGAGAGAGAGAGTGTATTCTTGAACTCTCGGTGAAGAGCTTCACCCTGCTACCAGAGCTACAAGACTCAAAGCAGTAAAGGTCACAGTGAGAGGAGCGATAAAGCCAAAAAACACATAATATATTAACAACTGTACAATTCATGTTCTGATAATTGGTCCTTATAGATGTCTTCTTGAGAGCCTTCACCACCCCTCTGCTGTCAAACACAAAATAATCCCCATCAATCATCCACAGATGCCATGTTTAGTCCAGGGTTGAGCTCCCAGTAAACCTCACACAGTTGTAAACAGCAGTCTGTAGCACACTGCTCACCTCAGACAGGACGAACACACCATCATTAATTTAAATAGCACTTCTCTCCTTCAGCATATGCATGGCGGTGAAATGACTCAATGTAATGAGGCAGAATAACCCTAGAAGTACGCTTTGTTTGTCATTTACAACAAGGAGTAAGCACACTATCTACACCGCCTGCTGTGCTTTGGGATGTCTGCTTGTGCAGGAATATCTGAGAGCACACAAACATCAGCACAAAATGGGATTTCTGCAAGGAGCAGATGGTGCAGCACAACGTCAGACACAATATTTGTTTGTGACTCGTCAGAGTGTAACACCAAGTCAGTTCAACTTCAGGGATATCAATCTGTCCATTTAGGAAGCCCAAGTGATTGTGAATCAGTTTCAGCTGCTTTGGTGCAAATGAAAGTGACAACAGGTGCAATGGAGAGGCAAAAAGGGAATGGTTTTACATGTGGTGGCCACAGACAGTCGGTCTCCTCATTCTTCCTGGCTGATTCTTCTCTAGCTTTGTGTTCTGCTAGTGTCCATGTCACTATTGGTAGCATGAGGCGGTACTTGCAGCCCAATCAGGTTGCACGGGTAGTCCAGCTCCTCCAGGATGGCACATCCATACGTGCGATCACAAAGAGTTTCAAGAACATGGAGGAGACACCAGGAGACCGGCTGTTACATGAGGAGAGCTGGACAGGGCCATAGAAGGGCATCAACCCAGCTGCAAGTCCGGTATCTGCTCCTCTGTGTGAGGAGGAGGAACAGGAGGAGCACTGCCAGAGCTCTACATAATGACCTCCAGCAGGCTACTGGTGTGCATGTTTCTGACCAAACTGTCAGAAACAGACTCCATGAGGGTCCAGTGCCCTTTAGTGGGACCTGTGCTCACAGCCCAGCACCATGCAGCACCATTGTCATTTGCCAGAGAACACCAGAATTGGCAGGTCTGCGACTGACACCCCGTTCTCTTCACAGATGAGAGCAGGTTCACACTGAGCACATGTGACAGGTGTGAAAGAGTCTGGAGACGCCGTGGTGATCGTTATGCTGCCTGTAACATCATCCAGAGTCAGTGATGGTCTGGGAGGCATATCCTTGGAGGGTCGCACAGACCTCCATGTCAAAGCCAACAGTACCCTGCCTGCTGTTAGGTACCAGGATGAAATGCTCAGAGCGATTGTCAGACGTTACACTGGTGCAGTGGGCCCTGGGTTCCTCCTGGTGCGGGACAATGCCCGGCCCCATGCAGTCAGAGTGTGTGGGCAGTTTCTGGAAGTATCATTGAGTGTTTCTTTCTCCCAGGGATTTTTGTTTTACCACCATTTGGAGTCATACACAATTTTTACTCCAAAATGTGCTTTTTAATTGTTCTGTCACTGATGTTCGAGCTGAATGATGCATGTTGTCACTACTACTGGAGTGTAAAGCAACAGGAGAAAGACACAAGTGCAGATCGTTTATCAGTAGTTTAAGAGTTCAGCTTACTGTCAGGTAGAGAGACATGCATTTGCAGGTGTTCGTACAGGTGTCCAGAAAACAACAGCATGAAACAACAATGTAGTGTAGCAACTTTGACAAACTGACAGAGAACAGGAGTAAATTAATTGGTATGTACACCTAGGCTGATTAGAGAAAGTGGGAACAGGTGAGGTGGGTGGTGAAGGTCAGGTAACTAGCACTGGAGGGAAAGAGGTTACTGCAGGGCTGGAGTCAGAGTCAGTCACAATACTTTAAATATTCCTAAAACATGTCTGAAGGAGACCTTTAAATCCACACAGTGGCTTTAAAGATTTGGCTCAATGTAAAGGTAACTGATTCGCTGTGCTGCTGCAGCTATATTAAAGCCAAACAAGCTACTGTTGATTTGTATGCATTACAAAAACACTACATCAAGGGCAACAGCTACCTGTAGGTTAACAACATTCATGGGAAATATGAAAATGAAGGCACTGCATACAGTACAAAACATGTCACACCTCTATCATTTCTCCCCACAACATTTCTGAGGCTCATTCGCTGCCTCACTCACTCACTCACTCTCCCCCCCTGTGGATGAGGTCGTCCTGACACTATCACAAGCTACAGAACTTTGCTCACAGGAGTCTTTGCCTGCAACTGATTACAGCACAAAAATCCAACATATCCTGAAGTAATAGCAGCAGCTCTGGCTGGGAGGCAGGAGATTCATCTGCTAACATTATCTGAGCACAGCAACAGGGACGGAGGAGGAAATCTCTTGTTGGCCAGACCCTTTGGTAACCTTATTTTTGATTAACATGCAATTGATTGTCGGGCAACGTAGCAACAGAGAACTCAAGGGAGGATTTGAGTCCAGAAGCCCCTCAGAGGGAAAGGTAATACTTTGTGATCTCTGTAAACTTAAAACAGAGAATATAATATTCCACATGTACAAACTGGTCTGTAAGTGAGTTTTTAACTGTGTGGAGAGATGAAATGGACGGGAAAATTTCAGTATCATGATTATACTGAGCAAAGTTATAAGAGTTACCAGTATTATCGCGGTATTGTTAAAGATATACTATGCAGAATGTTCCTACTTTTTCCTTTTACTTTACTATTTTGCTTCACTACTCTTAATAACCTTGTTTCCAGATGCAGGAGGCAGGTGTTTATAGTCGGAGAGCTCTGAGTTAGCGGCTAATGCAAACTAGTGAACTAGTGGAGCAATGAAGCTAAAGAGATATTTCCCTCAGGGGTTGTTGGACACAAAGTTAAAAGGAGGGTAAATACTGGACTTACATTTCTCAGGTGTCCAGAAACGTGACTCCACATGAATGTTTTCCATGTCTACTGGATTGGAAATGATAAAAGATATTAGCTGCATCAACTTTTAGCTTGTTCAGCTGCTCCCTAGTGGCTAAAAGCAACAGCAAGAAAATAGATCCGTGGTTTGGTAGCAGTAATAAAACTCTGGTTGTTTACCTTAGAAGACAGAAAAGATTAATACATTGGATAATAAATAAAATAATGAATAGAAATGAAATGCAATAAATCCACTAAATATGTCATATAGGTCTGTATAGGTAGATTTATATGTATATAGGTTCACTCACATATTGGCAAATATATTCTTGGGATCTTATTGCTAGCTTAATATTTTACTGTAAAATCTCATACAAGCAATTGCAGTTAATATTTACTTAGATTGTTGTGCTGTTCAGCTTGTGTGATTTCTTTATTCCGACATTAGTAGCAGTAGCAATAATAGTTAGGCTTATGAGAATCACAAACGTGGACATTTCTATTACCAAGTGCCGGCCAATGTATTGCAAAGACGCCTTTGCCTCATTGAAATAACTGAGCCTGCAGGTATTGCTGATGCTTTGTAAAAGCAGTATAGTGCTTAAATGAAACACAGCGAAATTTTGAGACATTTGGTTGCAAAAGCACAGCTGTAAATATTAAAATTAATGATGGCTCAATGCCATATTGCTGCTCCGGTTTCAGGTTTCTGCTGTTGTGCATGCTGACACACCATCACAGTGTCATGGCTTCCTAAGACAATTGAATATAAAAGAGCCATCTGTCATATTATATACTCTATGTATTAGGACGGCGCAGTGGTTAGCACTGTAGCATTGTCGTCTCACAACAATAGGGTTCCTGGTTTGAACCCTGGGGTGGGGGAGTCCTTCTGTGCTGAGCCTGCATGTTCTCCCCATGTCAGCCTGGGTTTACTCAGGGTACTCTGGCTTCCTCCAAAAATCCAAAGACATGCAGGTTGATTGGTGACTCTAAATTGTCCATAGGTGTGAATGTGAGTGTGAATGGTTGTCTGTCTCTATGTTTCAGCCCTGTGATAGTCTGGTGACCTGTCCAGGGTGTACCCTGCCTCTCGCCCAGTGTCAGCTGGGATAGGCTCCAGCCCCCCGTGACCCCCAGCAGGATAAGTGGTTATGCAAAATCATTGAATAAATACTGTGCTTTTCCTTTGACAAGTCAAAATGTCTGCCGTAATATAAGACCGAAAAATGCTACTCAAGGTGTTTCTAGTGGGACGTTTAAATTAGGGGTGTTGTGGCATAATGTTACTAATACATGGTAAATAAATTAAATTCTTGCTTGGTCTCCCAATGCCATGTGGTTGACTTTTTACTATACATTAAGTGAAACACTTCTTTTATTCGATTTTGCACAGTTATGGTGACAGACTTTTTCTACCACATGGAAATGGATGGATTTGAATGATTTTTTTTTTTTTAGTGTCATGCCACCTAGTGGCCCATCCCCCACAGGATTATATGACACCTTTG